AACACACATATACACACACACACACACACAATCAAACACGCACGCGCAAACGTAACACACATACATGTACACATTATACATACATATATACAACTCACTCAAGCACTCAAATAAAAAACAAACTAGAAAAGGCCAATATTTGCTTTGGAGCAAATACAGCGATGGGTTCACCACATTTTACGACATGGCAGGGAAAGAATGAGAAACACAAGGGAAAACAATGATTTACATTGATATAACTATAATATGAAGTAACATACAACTAAAACAACAGTTGGATAGCTATTCCCTACTATATTGGTTAGGATTTTTAATTGCATAATGCAAACTGTTGATTTAAAATAAAAAAAAACGTTCATGCCCCGCATTCCAATGCTGGAGCAGGAAAGATTGAAATACCTACCAAAACACTTGAATAAAGACATACTGTCAGTATGGAAATGCTCTGTGCAGGTGTTAATCAAGTTAAATCCCAACAGCCAATCAGCAAGAAGAATAGAGGAAAGCTGCATGCCTATTGGTTGATGCCCTGCATTCCATTGTGATGACTCATGCCCAGACGTGGTAAACACGGCACACTAACACAGTAATACATTTGCTATAACACAGCCAAAAAAACTCAAATAAAACCATTCTAAAAGCCCGTATCACAAAAATTTAAAAAACGCCTAGGGGTATTTGCTCACTGTACCTCCATACCAAATTTCAGGACCTTAGGCCCTAAAATGAAGAAGCTGAATCCATTTAAAAAATGGCAGGAGGAGAAGAAGAAGAAGAAACACCAGAAAAAGCAATATGGGTTCACCACACACCACTTCGTGGTGTGGTGATCCCATAATAAACCCAAAAATTTGCATACAACACGCACATATATATACGGAAACCTACTCGCAGACATGAGGGTTTTGTAAGATCTTGTAAAAGGTCTGAAAGAAGGCTGCTAGTGGATACACACCCATATTTAATGTCAACTTCTCTGACCTTGACAGTTGATGCCGTCTCCGGTGTACCCGTCTGGACATGGTCCGCACGTGTATCCATCCGCACCAAACCCAGCTGGCGGAGGGAGATCTGTGCACTCCGACCCAGGGAAACATGGGTTCAAGTTCACCAAGCATGCGTCCACCTGGAACCCACAGTCATCTCCGGCGTAGCCTGGTGCACAGCTGCATGTCCGTCTGAAAAATCTGATTACAGTACGGAAATAAATTTCATCATTATTTACCTTCTTTAAGTAGAATAGGAGTATATGTGCGTGTGTGTAGGTAGGGGTACATTAGCGTTTGCTTGTGTCGCCATACAGTTGAGCGAAAGTTTATGGGCGAGGGAATTACCTAAACTCAGACTACAGAAGATCAGCAACAGGATGTTTCATCCTGGCAGCTAATGGCCGAGAGCTAGGAGGACGTTGGCCTGGAGCATTTTGGCCGGATAACCGTGGCAACATCAAATACATACTTATTAATCAAAGTATTTCACAATAACTAGTATTGTTAGATAAGATATTTAGAAAATTCTATCCATTTCACGGAGGTTTGAAATCTTCTATGTCTATAATGACTTCTTTTTAAAGGATACTCTACAAACCAGGTTTGGTATTCATGTGTATTGAGGACTTGGGACTAGACCGTGGGAGGAAACGTACTTGTTTTCGCCACCTGCAATGGAGGGGTCAGGATCCACGCTTGAGTCACAGTTACCACCATTTTGACATGAACACATGTAAACCACGGGCCAGTATTGGGCTGTCGTGTTCTCGGCGTTATAAACATCGACTTGGAGTTTAAACGGTGAGGCAGACGTCACCTGAAAGCAATAAACTAAATTAATGAAGTTTGCGAAATTATCGCCGTAGTGAAAACGTGCTGGTGACCTGATGAAATACATAAGATGTTGTTGCCGTATCCAGAGCCTTGTTTAATGCAGAATTTACTCGTATCCAGAAGTTTTATAGATAGCATATTAATTTTCAAATACGCGGAGAATATGCCTGGTCCTTACCAATCAATGCATATAATCTTACTATAAAGTAGACAGCAACGGTTCTAAATACGCTAGTTGTCGAAGCTACACAACATACACATGACATAGCCACAGACCTGCCAGATCAAAGTTGCCTCTGACTCCCTCACACGTAGTTCCACGGTATCAGGGACCTCTGGTCCCAGTGCAAAGGTTGGAAAACGTGTAGAAGGGTCGGTAGCTGTGATAACTACGGTCACTGTTGTACCCACGGTCGCATACACAGTGCCGGGTCCATTTAGAGTGGGAGGAAACATGTCTGGTGGAATAAGTACATGTATTTCTTGTTATTTGTCTTGTAGATTGTTAATTAATCTGTATGTGGCATGTTGAAAACCAACAATTGGAATATCCTCACAGGTATACACTGGTATAATGCCAGTTTAATGGCTAAAAGATGACAGCAATGTGTTCTGTACCTTTAATGCCATGTTCATATCGTTATGGTTGAGTTATATGAATATGGTTGAATATGGAAAGTATAGAAAATAAAGAAAGAATGAATAATAGTAGATATTACAGAAAACTCAATCTGGCAAAGAAAAAAGCCAATACTGCGTTAACTACTTACTGAGCATATCTTGTTTATAGCGAAATTCTTCATCAGCCTCCAACAGCACATGGCCGTAGCTTATGTCACCCGTTTGGCTTATGTCGAATAGGCATTCGGTGTTGTTTTTACAGATTGCGTAAGCTTGGCTCTCTAGGTGCGGGTCGATAAAGGTGATGGCATCCGTGAATTGTGGGTAGAAGGAAGACCGTGTCTGGAAGGAGTCTTCCGTGTTGTTAGGAAACAGTGACTTCCTGGGTCCGTCTTCGCTCGTGAGCTGCCCTACAAGTCGGAGTAAAAGACCAACATCGCCCTGTTGCGCATATCGTGTACAAAAGTGCCAAAATACTTTCCGCCTGGGTCCCTGCAAACAATTTACCCTCATCACACT